GAAAGCCTGAGGTATATCTTGCATACAAGACTGATAGCACTTTCTGTCCAGCATGATGGGAAGGACTAAGGTCAGTGGTTAAGGCCAGCGTAACTTAATTCCTAGAAGTATCTCACAGCCTGGTGTTTTCTTTGTTTTCTACTCGGAATCGCTCATAATCAGTGGACAAACACCAGTGTAGAAGGTACCATGGCACACAGACAGCTAGGCTCATCTTTAGCCTTTATTTTTTGCATCTCATCTTCCAGAATGTCTTGAAAGTCTCTGAATCCCTTGGGGTGTTTGTAGTCCAGGCAGCCTCCTGCCCAGATGGCCAATATCAGCAGCTCTCCCCTGCGCCCTAGTGTAAAGCATCAGCATCGTTCTCCTTGGGTTTGTTTATTTTATCTATTTTTAAAAGAAGAAGCAACAGTGAAGCTGTCAGTTTCCGGCAGCAGCTCATTTGTGTTTTACTGCTGTAGTTTGTTTTCATTTGGATAGAAGGGAAGAGATAAATGCATTGAGAGTGCAGGGAGGGACCCAAAGGAGAGCTGGTGCGGGATGTTGTCCTTCCTCATGATGCCGTGTGGTGGCCGGGATGTGTGTCTCGGGGGTGGACATCCCACGTAGGAAACGTAACAGCTACTGCAGGGAGTGGCACCGCTGGAGAGAAAGTATTCTCTCAGGTTTCTGGATAATATCAAGAAAGCTGTCCGCTAAGCACTACAACTACAATCTGTGTTCAGCACTTGGCTTAGTAATGGAGCCCATCCCAGGGGAATTCCTTGGTCTTTTTGCTACCTTTTTCCATGCTGCTTTTAATAGAAGCTGCAGAGCTCAAGCCCTGCGGGGTGGAATGGTTTGAGAGGCTGTGTGCTGTCTGAATCACAACCACAGACAAACCCTGATGGGGTTTTTCCCCTCTTCTTCCCATCCTTCTCTTATAAAAAAGGAGTACAAGAAACTGAGCTCCTCTGAGCAAGCGTTTTCTTCTTCCAGGTGCTTCTTTTAGCTTTCTTGGTAGCTACCTCACCACCCCATATGGCCTCTCCCATCTGCTCTGCCATCTCTCCCACGTGCCCTGGCAGCTCCTGCTGCCTCCCCCGGACTCACCATCCCATCCGTCCGTCCGCCAGCTCCGCACTCCTGCTTCTGGGGGTCCCCAACCGGCCCTCGGGGCCAGCGCATCCCTCGGACATACCCGTCTCCCATCGCCTTGCGTGGCCTTTAGGAGTTTCACCCGCAGACCTTGCTGACCTCCTCTTGGAGTCACTCCTGTGAGCCCGCATGTGGGCTGGGGCAGGAGGTCACAGGTTTGTGTTCACAGGCACAGATTTACCCGCCTGGCAGCCCAGGAATAACCAAGACACCGACAAACTGGTACGGAAGCAGAGAGCAGAGGCGACATGTTACTATTTGATTACTTTTTAATTTTATGACATCTCTTTACATACTTGTGGCTGTACCTAGAGTGCTCCTGGATGAGACTTAGTTCAGTCCAGAGATTGTTCTGTAGAAGAGTTTGGCAAAGCTCGTGCTTGGCTTTCCTGCCCCGAGACTGCATCCCCGTGGCATCGGCAGCGGGTTACGCGTATCTCGGTGCTTTAATGGGGGTAGGCAAAAGCAGAGGAAGGGGTGCATCTGTTTCTGGTGTGTGTCTCTACAGGTAGAGTTCAAATAAGAGTAAGAAAATACCACATATATACTCTCTGTGTTTTTACTGAGTGTTTCTTTTCAGTTGCTGTCTGCTTCTGTGGTCCAGCTGGGGGCTGTAATCAGGGTGTTCATATCAGGTAATAAGGATATTGTTTTATTAGGGGAATTTCCTATGAATTTTTAAAAATACTTTCTTAAAGGAAGCCCTGAAAAGTTACTTGCAAAGGGAACTGGCAAAAGGCCAGCTCTTACGTGTTGACCGGAGGAAACGTGCTGGAGAGGTCAGGAGTTTGCACGGGCTCTTCCCGATGGCAGGTATGACTTTTCCTTTCCATCGGGACCCTGCCCCTCAGTGGGAGGATTGGTCTTGCTGCCTCTCTGCCTGTCCTTCTGGAGCTCTGACTTCCCTCCCTGTAGGAGTCTTGTTGTGAGCCTGTGGGTTTCTCCAGCAGGCTGGAGTCACCTCCGCTTTGCCATCGTCCCCCTTCCCTGTGGCAGCCCTGGCTGTGAGCGTGGAGCGAAAGCTCCAGCCGTCAGCTTGAACACCTGGGTCTCCCCTGGATGTAGATGCGTCTCTTAACTCTGGGTAGAATCCTGTCAGTCTCAAAGATGCTTTGCTTTAAGAAAAAAACCCCACACCATGTTTATTTATAAAAAAGAGGTTTGGTGTCACTTTCTAAACTGGCAGTGTATTTGTGTGTAGTCAGTACCAAGTGCCTCCAGAGTATTTATAATTAGAAATAACAGTAAATATTTGTTTCCCCTGACAGCGAGATAAAGACACTGTCGTATTTCACTTTTGTCTATTTATTGTCAGGAGCATTTATTAACTGGAAAAGTAAAGTGAAAGAAAGAGCATCTCTTGTGAGTATGCTGTGCTAAGGCGGGTGGTCCATCCTACAGTGCTTTCCAAAAGCATCCCAATCCAGCTGGAACCCACCCCCCTGTGTGTGATCTGTGACCCACAGAGGTGGCTTCCCAGAGGTTTCCCCTCCCAACAGGGTAAGTGCCAGTTTAAAGTCTGCGGAGAGGACACGGAGTGAAGACCCCTGAGCCACCTCAAAAAGGCACCGTGGGACCCTGGCTTCCCAGCTTGTAATGCAGGGATGATGGCTGGGACAGTGAATCTGTGGAAAACTTGAAGTGCTCAAGCAATGGCAAAGGTTCAAGAGAAAGATGTGCCTAAATCCCCTTGTCTGGTACCCAGAGGCTAGAGTTTAGGGAGGCTGACAGGCCTTTTGATGTATATTTACAAGTCAGTACCATCTTTGGGTGATAAACCTTTGTTCTCCTTATTCCTGACCCCGTCCTCCGATTCCAGGACTCTCCTGGGCATCCAGAAGCATCTGGCAGGGTCAGCAGGACCCTTGGCTGTTAGAGGGCTGCGTGTGGCGATGAATTGCTGCCTGTGTCCCCTGGGTGTTTCCCTGGGACTGGCTCTGGGTTGTTCAGCCCCTCCCCGTCTGCGGAGGGGCAGGATGGTGCTGTTTGACCCAGCTGATAAAACGGTGATGGAGAAACACGGGTCTGCACAGGGTGACCTTGTTGCTGACAGGTTTCCCCACGTACTGCGTTTCTCCCAGGTGAAGCCCTGTAGCCAGTGCCGTGCTCTGGTTCCGTTTCGGCTTCTGTGGCTGAAAATCAGTTGGACAGATTTAAGGTGGGTTCCACAAAAGGCTCCTAGATCCGTCTCTTAACTGACTTGCCCCACTCCCAAGCCTGGGAATGGCAAATCGGGAGGTGCCGCACTAACAATATTCAATGGGAGTGAGATGCAGGGTTTTTTTTCTTATTTCTTGGATGAAGATTGTCTCCAACTGTTGCTGCTGCTGGTCTTGATGATGGTGACTGGGAGAAAAAAACAACTGCTCCAAGCTGGGAGCTGCTGTGTGCTCTGGAAATGGGGCATTGCAGCGGTGTGACCTGCCCTCCTTTGCCATGTCCCACGGCAGCGCTTCCCCGTGCTCTGCAGGAGCGTGGGATTGGGATGGCAGTGGTCAAATTACAGAATTGTTTTAGTTGGAAAAGACCTTTGAGATGATCGAGTCCAACCATCAACCCAGCACTGCCAAGTCTACCCTAAACCATGTCCCTGAGCACCACATCAACTTGTCTCTTAACCCCCCCCTGGGATGGTGACTCCACCACCTCCCTGGGCAGCCCCTTCCAACGCCTGACAGCCCTTTCCGGGAAGACATTTTCCCTGATATCCCATCTAAACCTCCCCTGGCACAACTTTAGGCTGTTGCCTCTTGTCTTTTCACGTGGGAGAAGAGACTGACCCCCCTTCCTGCACCCTCCTTTCAGGGGGTTGCAGAGAGCGATAAGGTCTCCCCTCCACCTCCTTTTCTCAAGATACGGGGGTTTTCTCCGTGGTCAGGGGCTGTGTTTACCTATTTGGGACAAACTGGGCATCGCGAGGAGGATGTGAATCCTGCCAGCGGGCGCGTGTCGTTCCTTAGGCTGAAAACCGGTTGATTTACACACGAAGGAAGAATTTGGCCCTTCGTTTGCGGGAGCTGGATGAGATCAGTGCAGCCCTGCTTTCCCCCCGTGCTTTGTGTTGGTTTTCGTGGTCGACGCTGTATCAGCCTCTCCTGGAGCCTCGCTCAATGTGCTCCGGATGGAAAGGCATGTTTCATTTTTAAGTTTTTAAAAAAAAAAAAAGCCAACCCCACACATGCACACACACACAAAAAAACCCAAACAAACCTAAAACGCAGCGTGGCACAGATTAAATCCATTTGAGGCAACTCGGAAAAAAAAGCGACGTGTGTGCAAGTCAATAGGAGGAGGGGAGTGGAAGGGGGGAGAAAAAGCAACTGTGACATACACAAACCCTTTAGTGTGCATAGCATAAGATTTTTTGGCTGGCACTCACATGATTTTTGTTCAAGGGCTGGGAAAGAACTCCGATTAGTTAGAAGCTTCGGCAAAGTCTGGAGGGAGTGCTCCGAAGAGTTGGGAGCCGCGCAGGGGTGACTGCGACTCCTCTCGCAATTCCAGGCTATTCTTCCGTGGCTCGGGACAAAAGCCTTTTCTTTTCCCTCCGTGTTCAAAGAGACGTTTGTCCTGAGATGTTGCAGCTGTGGGCCGCGGGATTGCCGGGTTGAAGATACCCCCTCGTAGACGAAAGGAGAGGCAACGCACTGCAGAGTGGTAGTATTTTATTGTGTGTGGGTTCCCCCCCTTCCTCCTCCCTCCCTCCTCCTCCACTGCCATGTGCGGTTTTTAATAAGAAGAAGAATGTGGAGGCAACATTTTCCAGGCAAGGGGAAATTTCCTGTTTCTTTTCTGTTTGTTTAATAAAGTGTGTAGTTGACTGTAAAACTGTAGCTACTTCGTTGGGAACGGGTGATTCAGGCGGGTGTCAGGATCGCTTCTCGATGCACTTTTATCTACTGCAAGTGAACGTGTTTAAAGCCTTTTTTTCTTTATTCTTTCCATTTTTTTAAATGCTGCGCGGCGTAGGCAACTGAGATTAATAAGAATTAGGCAAATGGCTTCTGCTTTTGTTTCTGTGAGATACTACCAGCCGTCTTGCGGTCACACAAAGGCTGCCATTTAGCAGGGAGCACTCCCTAATTCTCTTGGCAGGGGTGCCATTGGGATCGGATACAAGTGGGTGGCAAAGGGGAGGAGCAGCAGGAGAGGACAAGCGGGCTTTGTGTATTAAAAATGAAACAAAAGCACTTTATACGCGGGGCTGCGTGCAACAAGCGGCGCTGCCTGCGAGCCGGGGTGGAGTTGGAGTTCTCACTGTGACTGCAAAACCTTCCTTGGTTTTTTTTTCCTCCTGTTTTTTTCTTTCCATAAACCCTCCCTCCTCTCCCTCTTCCTTACCCAGCTCTCCCTGCTATGCTGGCGAGGGTCTGCGGGCAGCGGAAAACCCCTAAAACACCTAAAAAAAGGACTTAATGAACAATATTTGCCACAACTTTGCAGGAACAGCTGGGGCTTTATTGGCAAAAAATGGGCTTTGGGGTTAACGGCTACGAGGTTTTATCAGCATTTAGGGGGGAGTGTCTGACTGTTTAATGACTTTCTGATCCAGGGCATACCTCGTTCTTAATGAAGCGGTGGCACGCAGAGCGAACGTGCTGGGTGAGCGTGGGTAAAAAGGAACGGCCCGGCGAGCGGAGCTCGGGTTTGTCAGCCCAGATGTTTCGGTCGAGTTGTGTTTGTGCGGGAGGTGGGAACCGGGACGGTGAAAAACAGGCACAGGGTGATGGAGAGGCAGCGACAGGCGGACCGCGGTTGACGTTGCCAACCTGCCCGTGGTTCTTCTTAAAATGTAGTTTCCATACGTGATGCATTTCGCCTCGTATCGATCTGCTTCAAAACTTCCCTTGTCCAGCTGAAGTACATTCCCTCGTTGAAGCAGGAAAGTGGGAGACGTTCCTCTGGAGACCTCGCGGTTTCCAGCCGGCGTTCGGCCTCAGCAACTGCACTTTTGTGTGCGGGTGAGGGTGACGTGCCTGAGAAGCCCGTGTCACCGTGCACAATTACATCCCTAATCCCGAGCAAGGACACAGATGCTGTTTCACACACACACAAAAAAGCTGCGTGGCGTTTGACTTTCAGAGAAGCTTACGTAACGGCAGCGTAATAAACCCGTTATTTTGGGGCTCAGATTAAATGTCAGAGTTTCAGATAACCCGTGGTTTCATCTTCCGTGCGCCACGCTCGCAGGAAGCTGGCTTCCCTGCCTGCTGCCCTGGTCGCCGACGGGCACCGAGCTCAGCTCACCCATGGCTGCGCGGCGCGGGGACGGTGCTGGCAGCCACCGGGGCGGGGACCCCCAAAGCCACCTTCCCCTCGTGCTACCTGATGCTCTCAGCCTTGGCGATGGCACGTGTTAGGAAGCTCCTAGGTCAGTGGTATAATTCACCCGCTTGTTAACCCGAGCAAATAATCTACCGCCGGGTAGTGCTTCACGTCAGGATTGTGTAAGCGCTCCGAGATCGGTACGTGATTTTATTCCCGCTTATCTGCTTACAGCAAGCTCCTTTGGGTTATCCACGTCGTCTCGGCACTCTATCCTGCCCACTGACACACTCGCGCTTCCATCTGGCTGGAATGCGTGCAGCCGTAATGCAGACTTCCAGTACGTGCTCCCGGTAGGAAAGGTAGAGAGAAGGACTTATTCCAAAAACCTTCACGTGGAACGATGAAAATCTTCAGACAGGTCGGCTGGGTTGGTTGAGTCTTCATTTCTTAAAGCAGATTCCGTAAAACAGGAATGAAGGGCCATTAAAGCCGCTCCATTAAACCTGCCTGTTTCCACGGGGTTAATCTTCCCCGTGCAAAATAAACGGAGCTGCGTGCTGTCCCGTGTCTCACACGCCGCGGCGTGGATCCCTCCCGCTCTCGGCATTAGCCCAGCTCCCTCTAACAGTGTCGCAGACAGCAGCATTCCTTCTGTAACACTCCAGGTGAGATGTTTGACCCCCCCCAAACCACCTCCCAGAGTTCCCTCAGCTTTCCCAGCTCGCCAGCAGTTTTACGGCGGATAAGCAGCGGATGTGGGAGGTGTAGAGCAGCAGGGTGAAACGCTCTTACCCAGCAGCAGTGGGGGCAGCTACTGTGCTCGATAGCCCCCCCCTCCCCAGATAAAAGGATTGCACAACCGCTGCGCTTAGAGGCGAGACAGATGTTGGCTGGTAGCTCTGGAAGGTTCTGGTGCAGAAGAGGGGGGGTTGAAGGTTTGAACCCAAACCCTCCAGGCCTGTCTACCGGAATAAACCACGACTTTGTGGCTTTCTGTCCCCGCTTTTCCCAGAAACTGCCTGGGTAGCTGAAATGTAATAAATAACACAATAAATGCCCTTACTGAGTGGGAGAGAGAGGTGCAGAAATTTCTGAGTGACTTGTCCAAAAATGAACCACTTAATCCCAAGCAGAGCAATAAATAGGGTATAAAAATAGGGCTTTTACGGCCCTTGGTTGGTGATGGTTCCTTTCCTCAGCCTGGACAGTGTGTCGTCAGGAAAGGAGAAAAAAGCAGCACAGACCCCTGAGCACACGTGTCTTCAACGGAGCAGCCCGTGGCGAGGAGAGCGGTCCCCTGCGTGCTCGCTGCCGTGATGGAGCAGGGTCTGCAGCCGCCTCATCCCTGTATGGGCAGGTCCTCCGCGCTGGCTGCAGCTACGCAGCCCGGAGCATCCTGCGGGATGCAGGGGTAGACCGGGCTCGGTGACGCTGAGCTTCGCTGTTCCCACCTGGAAGCCTTTTGGTGGTTGGTAACATAACCTGTGTGCTAAAGACCAGTAATCCTTTGGTTTCAGTGGGTGTCTGTTTGGACTTGCCTTTCTGAGATGGTCAAAACGGTAATGTCATCCCTTAAAAAAACACACCAAGTGCCAGCGTACGTCTGCAGGACGAATTCCCGGCCCTTCTACTCCTGCAGGCAGGGAAAAAAATTACTGCTGGCTTGGGGTCTGCTCCCAAGGTGCTAAATACAGCGGGTGGGGAGGCCGGCAGCTCGGGCAGACGTGGTCTGCTTGGAACGTGGCCCGTGTCCGTGAGGATCAGCACGGTGTGGAGAGACACCCAAGGAGTCAGGGGTGGCTGGCAGGTTGCACATCCCTGTCCTGGGAATAAGCCTGGCTGCGTTTTCTCTCCAGCCAGGGAAAAACCGCCGCTGCATGGAAACCCAGACCTTGTGCACATTGCGTTGCCACCGTCCCCTGAAACGTGTCGCGTGAGCCGAAACCACGTGCCGCTTGCCCTCGCCCGCACCGGTACCGCCCTTCCCGCTGCCGCCAGTGTAAAGGCTGCGCTCCTTCTTGCAGGTATTCGCCCTCAGATCATGAACGGCCCCATGCACCCCCGGCCCTTGGTGGCACTGCTGGACGGGAGGGACTGCACGGTGGAGATGCCCATCTTGAAGGACTTGGCGACGGTGGCATTCTGTGACGCACAATCAACTCAGGAGATTCACGAGAAGGTGAGGAGAGCTGGGGGCGGGCTGGGGGGCGGCCTCCTGGCCTTCCTCCTCAGAGGTGTGGGAGGCCACGCTGCGATCGGTCGGCAGGTGACATCAACAGAAGTCACGGCAGGTTAAAATCCAGCTTTTTACAACCCAGGTGTTATTTTAGGAAGAAAAAAGTCACCTTGTCCCTTACATCAGTCTTTTTACATCGATACTAGTAACGTTTCTCAGGTATTTGAAGCCGGCTGGCTCGGTGCCGCAGTGACAGCACTCCGCACCTCCCTGGGGCGCAGCATGGGTGCTTGGGCTTTGCCGCTGCCGTCCCACGCTGCCCATGGGTCTCCCCGGCTGCTGGCTGCACCTCAGCACCTCATTCCTCCCAGCAGTGAGCGGGTGAGGTTTGCAGGCGGGTCCATGCAGTGTTCACAGGTGTTGCAGCTTGGAAGCTCAACTGCCTGTAAATCCTTCCTCTAAAACGATTCCTTGTGCACGTTTCATAGAATCATCATAGAATCATAGAATAGTTTGGGTTGGAAGGGACCTTAAAGATCATCTAGTTCCAACCCCCCTGCCACGGGCAGGGACACCTTCCACTAGACCAGGTTGCTCATCCAGCCTGGCCTTGGACACTTCCAGGGATGGGGCATCCACAGCTTCTCTGGGCAACCTGTGCCAGTGCCTCCCCACCCTCTGCGGGAAGAATTTCTTCCTGATGTCCAATTTAGATAACTCAAATGAGATTCCAAGTGGTCCGAACTCACTTCCAGGATCTGGGAAAGACGGTACAAATAGCATCAAGGCTGATTTTTGCAGTGCTTCAGATGTTAAATGCGGGGGAAGGGAGGACAGAGATCTTTTTCGAGTCATTGACAGATGAAAGATGAGCCCATCTTGAGGCATTTGGATCACTCTAGGGTTTCCAGAACTGAGGTGGCTGACAGTGAGCGCCGATGAAGGTTTGAGTCTCCGTTGAAGGGGACCTGAGTACAGCCGTACACGACTCTACAGCCTCACACATACCTTTTTAGGTCCTCTGGAAGCCACACAGGAAAGGTTACTGTGAACAGTGAGACAGGTCTCTGTGCTCCCAGTGTACAAAAGGAGCTGAGTGACACACAGTTGTATTCAAAAACAACAGATACGGCCGTGAAACCTAATTCCTTCTCAGAAGCAGAACTGCTGCTGGTTGGGAGCAGATGGATTAGCAGATAACCACCTGGAGAAAGGTCCAGGTGAGCCACAGGCTCCGTTTGCCTTGTCTCCCCAGATGTAACGTCATCGTTTTCAGGTATCCATCCAGTCTGTTCCCAGGGGGAACGGCCTTGGTGTCGCTGGGTCACACCCTGAGGGTTTGGGTGACACCTGAAAGTGCCGGCTCAGGCCGTGCCTGGGTCCGTCAGCAGGTCAGCAGTACAACTCCCTGTGCAGTAGGGTGTCCGGGGGGCTCCTGACACCTCCGTTCTCTTCCAGGTATTAAACGAAGCGGTTGGAGCGATGATGTACCACACCATCACGCTGACCCGAGAAGATCTAGAGAAGTTCAAGGCCTTACGGGTCATCGTTCGAATAGGCAGTGGCTACGACAACATTGACATCAAGGCGGCGGGGGAGCTTGGTAGGTCTCGGCTCTGCACCCCGATTCCCTCCCGTGTCCTTCCGGGGCTCTGAAATCAGCACGGGTACCTGCTGCTTCCCAGAGCAAAGCGGGGTCGCAGGCAAGGGGGTTGATTCGGCCCCTAAAGTACAGCTGCAGTTCACATTTTTAGCACGTAGAGAGCGTTACGACAAGGAAACTTGACCATGAGCTGAACAAAACAGTGCCGTTTTGGAGGGCAGCTCGGACTGTGTTAAAACTGCCCCCCCTTCTCCTTCCTGCACCGTCCCTAGTTCCAGGTGCCCCCGCGTACCAAGGGATGTTTGTACGGCTGGCACGGGAGAGCTGACCTAGCTGTATCAAACCTGGAGGAAGGGTGTTAGGTTTTGTTCAGCGAGGTCAGTCTCTTGTGCTGATCCGGTTCCGAGAGTCATGCCCGCACCGCTGGGACGAGGGGTGTTGAACGGATGGGGCTGTGTTGAATGGTGGTGCAGGAATTGTGTGCTGGGTTGTTGCTGCCTCCTTTGCCATCTCTCCGAAGATGCCTCAGGAACTCGACCAAGTCATTTATTGCGGGTCCGTGCTACGTGGCCTGCCAAAATACAGGGGGGGGTCACGCTGTCAGAAAGCAGCCCCTGCGTCCAGCGGTAGGGTTTCCCTGCACGCCCGGGCTGGGGGTGGGTGTGGGAAACGGCACAGGGGCCACCCCGTTTCCGTCCTGGTTTGGATGGTCGCAGGGAAGCTTTGGCTGCACGCCCTCAGCTGTGGGTGCCTGCTTGTGTCCGGGCTTGAAGCGGCGGAGTTCCAACCAGTTGTGATGGTCTGATCCCAAGGTTCGGTCCGTCAGACAGCCCGACGGCAGTGTTTAGGACAACTTGTATTAAAGGTCAGCTCTGGGGAAGTGAAGAATAACAGGCATTTCACGTGGGTTTTACAGAGAGAATTGCAGTAAAAGAGCTTCAAATAGTCGTTCCCAAAAAAGCAATTCTCAATATAGTGAATTATTCTTTTTTTTTGAGAGGAGAACAGCGTCTTCTCAATGCAATGGTTTCTTCATGTTTTTAACTCTTATTGTTATTATCCGTTATAACAATGTTCTGAGGCTTTGAACATCAAGAAAGGAAAAATATAACGCATAAAGTAATGGGATGCTGCAGTATAATCCTTTTTTTTTAAATACTTGGCAAATTGGGTGGCCAAATGATGTGGTTTCGAGTAGAAAATGTAATGACTACCCACGAATGCAGCGTAAAGTTTAATTGCTACTGCCTTCCATACGGTGGTTTTTAAACGGTGCGGGCCGTAGATGGCCAATGTCTGAACACGGTGCCCCTGGCCGGGACCGGTCGTGACCCACAAGACACCCCCAGAACAAGATGCTTCTGCAGAACCATCCACCGTGGGTATTTTAATTCCTGCTCCTGGGAACACGAGAGTAAACACCAGTGTACGACGCTCATGGGAAAGGCAGCCCGGTGTCACCCGGCTCTCAAAGGAAGTCGGTCAGAAAAGGGACGAGTGCCAGCAGGGTTGGCCATGGGGACCCTCAGGGGAGCTGCAGGTCCACAGGGAGGGACACCCATCGCTCCCCAGCCCTTTTGTCTCTTACCCCTCAGCAGCCATGACTACACTTCAATGTGTCGCCTTCTTGGGACCCGCGGGGACCAGAGCATTGTGGCCCCATCCCCTGAAAGGGAGAGGAGCTGGACAGTGTCTCTGGGAGTTGGTTGGCGGTGGGTTTGTTCTCCCTGTAGGATCAGCCACTTTTCTCCCAGTTTTGGTAGGTCTTCCAAACAGTCACAGGGTGGAAAACAGTGTTAAAAAGCAGCTCCTGGGAGAAGGGAGATTGTCAGGGGGATGGGAACCAGATTTTTAGATTCTGAAGTGGATCGGTGCCCCTTACAGTGGAAGGGGATTTTCTGAATAGCTTACTCTGTCTTTATCTCCTGCTTTGTCGTGATTTCTACTCCAAGCCCCCAGCCCAGCAGCGCGCTTAAGTCCCCACCCATCCTTACACGTGTGGTTAAACCGCGTTGAAGCCGGTGGGATAGCAGCACGCGCCGAGTAGACGTGAAAACAGCGCGTTAGGAGCCAGAGCCCGGATGGTGCCGCGGTCGGGGAGGCTTTTCCCGTGAACCTAACACTGGCAGCTCCAACACGATGGTTTAAAATGTCCCTTTTTTGGCAAAGGAACCAAAGCTCCGTCACCGAGACCTGTGCCAGGGTGGAGAGCGGCTCCGGCGTGGGGGCTGACTGTTGGAGTTGGACTGTTTTGGTGTTCATTGGGGGAAGGAGAAGCTGGCCCTGCCACGCCGTCCTGCTCCAGCGCACCGAGCTGTCGGGCCATAAATAATTTAATGGTTGGACAGTCTTGTTGTGGAAAAGGAGCGATTTAATTTCCTTTGAAGGTAGATGAAACTAAACGAGGATAAGGCTTTCGATGGCAAAACAAACCTTTGCTGCTGGAGTTACTCCTGCGTAGCTGTGGTACCCGAAAGCTGCGCTTGTCCTTATTACAGAGAGATGCTGGGGTGTGGGGAGCCCCTGAGTGTGTTCATGGGGGTTTTGCAGCTGGGGCTGCCTCACCCCGAGCCACAGTCAGACTTTGCGGTGTTGCCTCCGCAGGGATCGCCGTCTGCAACATCCCCTCGGCCGCCGTGGAGGAGACGGCTGACTCCACTGTCTGCCACGTCCTCAACCTCTACCGACGCAACACGTGGCTCTACCAGGCGCTGCGGGAAGGCACGCGGGTGCAGAGCGTGGAGCAGATCCGGGAGGTGGCCTCCGGTGCCGCCCGCATCAGAGGGGAGACGCTTGGCCTCATCGGCTTCGGTACGTCGGTCCTGGGGAGTGCTGCCAGCCCCACCTTCAGCCCTTGAGGGAGGCTCAGCGCCACTTCAGTCCTGGGAAGGACCCAAAATGAGCATTTTCAAACCCAGAACCACCACAGTGGGAATCTTACGCTCATTTAGGGTGCAGTTCTGGCTGTTGGAGGGTGGTGGCTGTGGAGGAGCACCAGCTGGGAGCTGGACCGTGCATGCTGCAGCAGCGTTCCCGCTCGCTTTCGGCACGGCAGATGTCTTTCCCACTTGCTTCATGCTTTGCCCTGCAAAGCCCTGGGCTTGGTGCAGAAAGCTGGTGTGTGAGCGTGTGTAAATGGGGAAACTGAGGCACGGGGGGTGGGTGAGGTTAGCGCAGGCAATCCAGCGGCTGTAGGAGCCCTTTGCTTCCAAGCCACGACAGTTGCCTTCGCCATGCCCGGTTACCCAGCCCTTCGGAGAGGCTGAAAACCCTGGCACAAACACGTTGCCTAAAACCGGCGATGCGTTTTTCTTCCCTTTTTTGGTAGACGCCGCGGAGGGTCGTTCCTCTGCGATGCCCAGAGCTGCACGTCAGTGGGGCCAAGCCCCACATTGGGCCTTGCCCCTCAGACCTGTGTGGCCATGGCTGGTGCGAAGATGCCTGATGGTCTCACCCTTCATTTTTGCTGGGGGGAGAGTGTTAAAATTTAACTCAAGCATCAGACACTTGCGAGAGCCCAGCCCAGCCCCCCTGCGCAAGGGGCTGCCTGGGGAGCCTAGATGGGTACCCCCACGGCGGTGGGGGGCCAGGCCGTGGGGCAGCTGAACGGCATGGAGCCGGGGAGGTGGGAATGTGTTGTGACACCCCCCCCTCTTTTTCCTTCGCGCACAGGTCGCACTGCGCAGGCGGTGGCGGTGCGAGCCAAGGCGTTCGGCTTCAACGTGATCTTCTACGACCCATACCTGCAGGACGGGATCGAGAGGTCCCTGGGCGTCCAGCGGGTCTACACGCTCCAGGACCTGCTCTACCAGAGCGACTGCGTTTCCTTGCACTGTAACCTCAACGAACATAACCACCACCTTATCAACGACTTCACGATCAAGCAGGTAATTCGCCTCGCGTGCGCCCCAGCC